TTTTCACATTCTCTCCACTTTTTGCCTTATTTTGAGTCTTAAACTTTGTATTTCCAGACAATGTAAAAACTACAAACTAATCTATCTAGTCCATTTGATGTTTACTTAATTTAAACATTAAGCAATGCCAAATATGTGAGTCATTTCTTAGGTATCTGAATCTCATCTTGCAGTGTATATAATACTCTCTCTGGAATAAAGTCAGTTTTTAGGGTAAACAATAGGATGAAAGGAGACCCCCATTTGATTCCTGGGGACACATAGCAGTTTCTCCAAGTAGGCATCAAACTGACGAGGACTCCAAACTGTGAGATCATCTCCAATGGCGTACAGACACTTTCAAGAGTATTCTAAGTGGAGGTGATCACCATGGAGATAGTGGTTGTGTTAGGTAGAAGCATGGCATCCTATGTGACTGATTAAAAGTCAACATGCAGCTTTTTCCAGTTGGTAGTTGGAAGCTTTGGGAGTGAGGGAAACTGTCAGGCATCACTTAGGTATTATGTAATTGTCTCATGAGTTCTTGTTTGGGTTCCTAGTTTTGTTGCTAAACAGAGTGCTTTGTCTGCATGGACTGAGTGCTACACATAGAGTGGCTGCCTGGTCTGGTTGCTGTGTTAAGGATCAAAATTCTGTTTTCACACATGCTTGGGCAACACTTCTTTTGTACATGCTGTTTCTTACAATAGGGGAAATAAACTCTCAAGCCAAGAAAATGTTTTGGTCTTTGACTGCTCCACCTCTGCTTGCTTTCTTTGTAACTTTGGGTGAGTTACTTACTTACTCTATTATCCAAGAAAAACAAAAGGCAGAATTTATCAAGAAAACAGTATTTGTCCTCTTATTGTAAGAACATGGATTAATGAGCTAGCATGACTCTGAGGAGGTGAGTACAGGGAGTGATAAAGAATACACAGAACCCACAGATGATATTACCTGTCCACCAAACTCAGGTGACTCGAGACTCTGTCAAGTTGACAATTAACACTAAATGCCACAGTTGCTCTTTACATGGCTGTGACACATGTCTGACAGAAACAGATGAAAAGAAGGAAGTTCATTTGGCTTTTGATTTCAGAGGGATGTCAGGCTATCACAGTGGGGCAGGCATGGTGACCCAATGCCGAGGCAGCAGGAGTGTGGAGTGGAGGCAGCTAAGGCTGGAACCAAAAAGATCTAAACTTCACAGACCAACCCCTAATGACGAATTTCTACCAGTGAGTCACAAAGGTTCTACAACTTCCAAGAACCGTGACACCTTCTGGGACCAGGCACTCAAACGCGCGAGCCTATGAAGGACATTTCACACTGAAACTAAAGCGGTGATGTTTGTAATTCATGTAAATATCTGGCAGGTGTCTTGCTGAGGAGAAAATTGGTTAAAAACTGCTGATCCAATGAATCTGTCAGGCTTAGTCTACATTAACCATGAGAGGAACCAATGCTGAGCTGCACTCTACCCAACTCAGGCTGTGCAGGACTATCCCTGGCATTTATGAGAGTGAGACTGAAAGCTAACCTGGTTCTAAGGAGCTCTGTGGGGTCAACTGACAGGTGCATGTTGACCAGAGACCAAGTTCAAATAATAATATTGTTTGGTCCATCTGCTCTTCCTGGTTTTCCAGTATGTCTGATTTTTATCCCTTTTTCTTTCTTGGGTGCTTGATTGCCCTCACGTGGCCACTACCCTGGCTAAAAGTTAAATTATCATTAATGTTTATTTCTGAACAAATTATGAAGTGAAATGCAATAGGCTGTGTTCTTCAGTCTGTTGGAATAACAGATAACCATCCATCCTTGTTAGAGGTTTTTGTCAGAAATCACTATGAACTTCCTATGACTTACTTAGTTTTTCAGTCTCATTTATACAGCTCCGTATACACAATGCTTAATCAGTAAATATTTTTCCTAGCTATTACCAAGCACGCATCCAGGTTCAGGGAAGCCAATAAGTAAAGGTGATAAATCAATAACTTTCATTGGAGCCCACATCCCAACACTCGAGGTTGGGCTCAAACATCCAGTGATCCAAAGGTTATCAATGATCCAGAGTTATCAACCAATAACTCTGAGGATAAAGAGACATAGCCTATGATGAAGGGAGGAGCATCCATGAAGTATCATGGAAGACTCTTTGGATAAGTTGATATTTAAGTAGAGACCTAGAAGAAGGAAAGAAAAGAACAATAAGGATAAAGGTAAAATTGTTTCTTGTTAGAAAGGGAAAGTGCAAAGGGCCTGAGACTATGGGATGTTTGGCCTGTTCCCAGATGTGGCAGGGAAGCCATTCTGGTCACAGGTGTGTCAGGAAAGATGACAGAGTCTGTGAGGCTCAGAGAAACAAGACTGCGGGAGTCTTTGGAACTGTGGTACGAATTGTATTTATTCTAAGGCAAAAAGGCATGGGGACTGCCTTTTTCACTTATATTTTAAGATATCATTCTACTTTCTGTATTGATTTTTTAAAAAAGAATCAAGAGAGAAAAGATACAAGCTGAGAGTTAAGTTAGAAGGCCTTTACATTGGGTAAATATGAAGATACCTTGGCTTAGGTTAAAAAGTGGTCAATGAAGAAAAGTGAAAATTCATCTCGTTGTTGTGAGCAAAAAGAAAAGAAAATAAGAAGCTGCCCTTGTTGATTGGGATCCCCACAATGATAGGATGGGATTGATAATGATGCGGAAGGGGGGGCACCGTGTGGGAGTGGGTTAAGCAAGGATGAAGAGAGTACAATTGAGATCACAGAGAGGTCTGCCGACTAGACATCAGGGATATGTCCAGTACTGAGAACACAGAGAGGTCTGACGACTAGACATCGGGGGGATATGCCCAGTACTGAGATCACAGAGAGGTCTGACTACTAGACGTTGGGTGATAATGCCCAGTACTGAGATCACAGAGAGGTCTAACTACTTAGACATCGGGGGATATGCCCAGTACTGAGATCACAGAGAGGTCTGCCGACTAGACATTGAGGGATATGTCCAGTACTGAGAACACAGAGAGGTCTAACTACTAAACGTTGGGTGATAATGCCCAGTAGATAATCACACAAACTTGTCAGGGTTCAGGAATTAGGCCCAAGTGAATATGTCACATTTTGGAGTCAGAAATCTATACACAGGACTTATTACAAGGTGAAGGGATAGAGTCAAGTAGAAATGAAATTAAGCAAAAATGGAGATTGAGCCTCCAGCTCTTCCAATATTGGATTCTGTAAAATATGATGGATCAGAAAAAGGACTTGGGAAGGAAAAAAAAAGAAAGAAAGAATCAGAATCCAGCTAAAGAAAGTGCTTCAAAAATCAAAAGATTACCTTTTTCAAATGCCTAACAGGACCTAAACAGCTCTGCAATGGCAACAAGGCAGCTCTAGCGTATCTAGAGAGCATAGGTTTCAGTGAGTTGTTGAAGAAGAAAGAATGGCTTAGAGTAAAATCGTAGAGAGCTAGAAGAAAGAAAGCAGGAACCTTGGATACCAACAATTCAATGTCTGTTGAAAAGGAATTAATAAAAACTGGTAACTCTTCACAGATAAATGTTGGAGGAGTTTCTTTTTTCTTGAAGAATTGTAGCATATTTATAAGAGAAGGGAATGATGTCACAGAAAAACACTAGTGTATGGTCGAAGTGACGGAGGGGCTGTGGCTGGAAGGCTGTCCTTCCATAACTAAAAGGGAGGTAACCTATGTCATCACCACAGGACTAAAGTTAAGTTAAACTCAGTAGGAAAGATGAGGTATGTGTGTAATGCAAAGTGGTTGTTAGATATTATGATGGAAAATTGGGAAACTTTTAACTTCCTTTTTTTCCCCACAGACATACAAAGCAAGGATGTCAGGCAAGACTAAACAGAAAGGTGACAGTAGGTGTCCTTTTTCTACCATTTGAAGTATAACTTACAAAATAACAATAATAAGGAAAATAGAGTTGCTGACATGTTTTTTGTGTTTTGGAGGTAGAGAATACTTGTACAGACCAGACCACTTGTAAGTAACACAGCTCTCTCTAAAGCTGGTCTCTGTTTGAGCTTACTCTTTGAGCAGCAATGTAAAGTTTGTTTATCTCAAAAGGCAATCATTAAATTTAGAAAATAAGAAAAAAATAGAGTTTTGTTCTTAATAAAAATCACTTAAGATATGCTATAGGTTAGATGAGCCTGAATGATAGCTTCAGAAACTTGTCTCCTTGCGTGGTGACAGTAAGAACCAATGGGACCTTGAAGAAATGGGACCCAGTGAGACATAATTAAGTCACTGGTGATGCTGATCTCACAAGCCATCAATGTAGAATGTAATTTCTATGGAATACCAGTTAGATCTTAGAAGGGATGGAATGTTATGGAATGCCCCTCCAATTCACAGCCGTGTGGGTGCTCATTCTTGTGCACAATCCTGCTATGATATGCTCTGTCATAATATAATGCACAGTTGACACAATGCTGTTTAGAGTTCTAGGCACCAAAGTTTTGAGCTAAGTAGTTGTCTTTTTCTTATGTGACTCTCAGCTTCAAGCATTCTGTTGCAGTAATGGAAAACAGACTTTATAAGGACACAAGCCATGCAATAAACACACGTTCATAAAAAGCTGTACTAATGTGTTCATATTTTCACTCATACATTCATCATTTATTCTTGAATGAGCATGTATTGTGCCTCTAAAATGCCCTAGACCCTGTGAGCAGCCTGGGGAAATGACAGACACTAAGTCATAGTCACCAGATTGTAGTGGAAATCAGTGTGCTAAGAGTGATGGACAAAAAACAACTTCCCTTTATTTGATCATCTTTAGTGACCACCCTTGCTGGGTATCTTTGAACCTTACCCACCTTAGTTCTCTGCCCTGTTCTTCTCATAAGCACAATTTAATAATAGTGCTGCTTGTTGCCATGGCTATTACTGGAACATGTTCAAAATGCAAGAGCACACAGAACAGTGAGCAAGTTGCCTTGACAAAAAGCTAATGGGACAGCCAAACAGACAAAGCCTTAAAGGGTAAGTGGAAAATCCAATCACGCAGAATATCACAAAGTCCGCGAATGAAGTCCTAGAGACTGGAGTATGGATGAAGAAACAAAGAGGTACTTGCTAACAGCTATAGTCTTTTTCTTCAGATGAATAGGAATCACTTTGCTTGGGAAAGTTAGGGGTACTTTTAGTGTTGGGGGGTTGTTTTAGAAAGAAAAAGAATTGCATATTTACAGGTTGTTTCAGATGCAATGTTTAGGTAGTTCTGTGAAAGTGGATGAAAGAAAGTGAATGGGTAAGGTGTGCCATATTATGGTTGAGAGGTCCTGTGACTTGCTCTAGAACAGTGGTTCTCAACCTTCCTAATGCTGTGACCCATTAATATAGTTCCCCATGCCATGGTGATCCCCAATCATAAAATTATTTCACTGTTACTTCATAAGTGTAATTTCGCTACTGTTTTGAACTGTAATGTAAATAACTGATATGCAGGGCATCACGGCCCACAGGTTGAGAACCACTGCTCTAGATCATGGGCAATTATGGGAGAAAACATGAACGGTACAATTTTTGTTTGTTTGTTTGTTTGCTTGTTTTCTCCAAGTGTGCGATTGACAAGGCTTGCCGAATGTTTTGCTACACACAGTGTGGAGAAACACAATGGAGTGACGGTTTCAGAAGCTCCCTTGTGTATTCCTGGGAGAAAGGTAGAAAGTGACACGAATAACAGAAATTAGAATTCCAGGAGAAACTGAAAACTTACCTTTGTTTCCCATTTTCTTCCTTCCTTTTAGGAGAAAAGTTAATTGGACTGGAATCAGGTCCGATGTTTGGTTTGTGGGTGTGGGCTGGACGGTGGAAATAAACAAGGACACTGCTCAGGAGACAGACACTAGAAGTTTTCATTGCAAAGTGCCAGTTAAAGCCTTGAGAGATGATGAGCCTCCAGGTGGTAATATCTGCAGTGAGACAATGGATGGAGGATGCCAGTAACTGAGAGGTCAGCCAGATGAAACCGGGAGAGAAGGACTTAGGGAATTTGCAAGTATTCCAAGACAAAGCTCCTCTGCTAACCCTGAGTCACACAGTGGTGACTTTTTGAGTTCAGCTTCAGAGGACATAGCACATATAGGAGAATGGAGACAAAACAACAAGTGTATAAAAATAATAAAGATTGGTCACAGATATTATGTACCCCAAGATACAGAGTAATGATTAGGAAGCATCACCCTGAGGTAGGTGATAAAATGGATGAGGTTGGAGAGATTTTACACTCCAAACAGCTATCTCCTGCAAAGCTAGGTTATATATCGTGGTAGATGGCACACTTGTGGCCAAATAAGAAAATGGAATATGAGGCTGGAGAATAAAGGCCAATGATGCACTCGGTTACAAGATCCTGGTCTTTTTGTGAAAGAGAGTGTATTCTAAAATGCCAAAGCAAGAAATAGTCACTGCCTAAACACCCTCTTGAAACTGAAATAAAGAAGCAAACCCAGAATGCAAAGCTTGACCTGAGTCCTGGGCTCTGTACTAGGCGTGGAAAGAGGAATGTGTGGGTAGGAATGTCTGGCTATTTTCTCTCTGTGCCCAGCATCAGGAAGAAGCCACTGTGGATATGATTGTCCAGATCTACTGCATTTTGTTCTTTCTTTGGCAGGTTTTCTGTAAATGTAAAAGCAACAGTATTTGTGTGTCACCTTCTCTGTGGTTTTTAACCTCCACTACCTCATGGAATTGATAATATTATTTTGATCATTATAACGATGTGGAAAATGAGGCATGGAATGAGGTAGTGCCTTCGTTATCTAGCGTAGGTACAGGCTGAGTCAGGATTTAATCAGATTTGGGTATTTGATCTCTGTGACCTTCTGCAATATATCAACCTATTTGTTCAGTAAACAATGTCTGAGCCTATAGAAGATTCCTCTAATTTGTTTATTAGCTGAGTCGGTTCTCACTTAATTACACGTATCAATACTGAGAGGGACCATCTTTATGGGTTCACATTTAAAGTTTAAACAAAATAAGAAGCTTTTATTTCATAAAATTTAAACAATAATAAACACAAAAAATTGATAAAGGCAGAAAGCATTGTAAATAGCAGAGGACACTAAGTCCCTCTAAAATCCTGTGCAAGGTGGTGTAATAGGAGCATTGAGAATCCTCACACATTTTAAACACTGTGTTCGTGATTTGCCTGAAAGGAAGCATTAAAAGATGTTAGAATTGTCTCTGTAGGTTTCCCCATCATGATCTTGATGCCCCCTTGCTGATAGAATTCCTCTTCCCTCTCTTCGACTGGACTCCTGGAGCTCAGCCTGGTACTTGGCTGTGGATCTCTGCATCTGCTTCCATTAGTTACTGAATGAAGGCTCTGTGATGCAACCAAAGCAAGCTCGTGAGAACTCATGAACTTTAGACCAACAGCTGTGGAGCCTCCATGGGACCGGACTAGGCCCTCTGCATAGGTGAGACAGTTGTGTAGCTTGGTCTGTTTAAGGAGCCTCTGGCAGTAAGATCGGAATCTATCCCTGGTGCAAGATCTGGCTTTTTGGAGCCCACTACATATGATGCGACATCTTGCACAGCCTTGATGCAGGGGGAGGGGCTTGGACCTGCCTCAACTGAATGGACCAGGCTCTGCTGACTCCCCAGGGAAGGCCTTATGTTTTCAGAAGAGGAAATGGGGGGTGGAGAAAGAGAAGGGATGAGAGGGTGATCTGTGGTTGGTATGTAAAATGAATAAAAAATTTCTTACTAAGGAAAAAAAAAAAGATGTTAGGAGTTCTGTGACCATTTACAACATGCCCAGATGGGGGTGATGACAAGTTTATAAATCCTGGAGAAATGATTTTGCCATTATTAAATAGTTGAGGATCATAGAGAAACACTGATTAATAGAACAATTAATTAAACTGTCTTTAGATTATACACACAAAACCACTCCGGCTGCATTGTTCCTTAGGAAATATCTGGGATCCTTAAGAAGTCTTTGTGTGTGTGTGTGTGTGTGTGTGTGTGTGTGTGTGTGTGTGTGTGTGTTGTAAGTGTGTGTGTATGTACACACATGTGTGGAGTTCAGAGGTTGACAACACATGCCTTTATCATTCTCCACCTTGTTTTGGAAGATGATCTCTTGATGGACCTAGAACTTAAAGATTCAGCAAGCTCCAGGGATTCCCCTGTCTCAGTCTCCTCAGTGGTGGGATTATAGGCATGCACCACTACTCCTGGCTTTTTGTGTGGGTGCTACATGCTGAACTCGGGTCTTCGGGTTTATGCAGCAAGCCACTTACCACTGAGCCCCCTCCTCAACACTCTTTAGGAACACCCTGAGAAGATGTAGGGTTTTAACTTTATGGAAAACTAGAATATAATACCTTGGAGACATTGTATATTGTGTACATATTCAAATTAGAATATTAAAAATTGCTCTGGGAATCTCGGGAAGACAGATTTGAAGAGACAAATGTGAGGCGGGCAAGTGCTTTATAAAAGGGATGTGTGCTCTTCATGAAGGCAGGAGCAGAGCAGAGCAGGGCAAACGAAAGTGATGGGGAACAAACTGAAGGTCAGTGGACAGAGCTTCTAAATAGGCAGTCTCCTGGTGCCATTCCCAGGCCAAATGTCTAAAGTCTGCAACGGGTAACATTTTTTCTTCCTAGTGGAGAGGGGAAGTCAAGACATCTTGAATCTTTGTAAATTTATGCCCTGCTTTTAGGCAAATGGAGGGCAGGCGGTGCTCTGGCATTTCGGCTTCCCACTATTTTCAGCTCAGAGCATCTCTACCCACAGAAGCAAATCCCAGGGTGGCAGCCTCAGGTCTCCCACACTACTGTTTCCTTCATAGCAGGGATTACTCCTCAAGCTTTGCTTTGAAAGCATCTTAGATCTTGTATATTTATTTATTATATATTCATCTTTGGCAATATTTTTTTTAACTTTTCATCATATTTAATCATTGCACATGACACTTTGTTATGTAAGGAGCCTTTCATACAAATATGTGTATGTTATAGGTTGAGCACCTTGTGTACATTCTTTGAATATTCTCTCTGGAAATTTTTCATCATATGTTAAAAAAAAAGACCTTAGGCTGGCAGTTAACATCACTTGCCAAGCCCGATGACCTCTGTTTGAACCCCAGAATCCCCGTCATTGAAGGAGAGAGCTTCTTACTGAAATTTGACCTCTTGACTGTCACATTTGCACCATGGCGACACACCCACACACATACACACCAATAAAGAAATACAACTTCTGTTAGATCTCTAGAGGATTCCAAATTTACGGTACATCTGGAGAGAGGAGACGGGCCTCTCCATTGATGGTGGGGTGCTGTCCTTACTGGGACGTGCCCCTGCCCATGGGACACAGCAAGGGGTCTCTGGGTTGTGCGACTTTGGACTTCTTTCACTTTTCTCCCTGGCTAAAATGGTGACCAAGGGCAAAACAGACACAGAGAAGTTTTGTCACCCACAGAACTGAGACCATATTACTTGAATAAATGACATGTTAAGCCATGCTTGGCCATTATACTTCCTGCTGAGAGCTGTGACGAATCACAGACTTCAAAGTGCCACCATGGAGAAAAATGAGTTCCTCAGGAGAGACCTGTGTTTGTCTTCCTTGTCTAACTCATCGTTAAGAACAAATATCTAGCAGAGAAGACTGTTCACCAACTGACACTGGAACTTTGCCCTCTTGTTTTCATTACACATTTTAAACAAGGAAAATCTGAATTAGTTCTCTCTATCGGTTCCCAATCCGTAATTAGTGAAGTAGCAACTTGAATAAAAAGCTTTTTAAAATGCATAATGCAAACAAGAGAAAAAGCATGCCTCTTGAGCAGTAATAAACATCTTCAACAGCTTTTCAGAAGTGTGTTTTTGAAGCTAGAATACTTGATATATATATATAATACACACACACACACACACACACACACACACACGTGTGTGTGTGTGTGTGTGTGTGAGTGCGCTCGTGTGCGTGCGTGCATGTGTGTATGCATGTATGTATATCTAACAATATACATCATATCTACATGGCCTTAAGTTGACATAGGTAGTTGTATGTAAATATCTGACTTACATTTTGAAGTTTTGTAGCTTCCTTAGAAGGCATTGATTGGTAAGCATGTATTAAATATTAATTATGTATATCATGGTTTAAGAAGCTAACTTTCTGCTGACTGTATTTTCCAATGAAAACAGAACAAAGCTAGAATAAAGTAAAGCATAATCAATATATTTCAAACTATTAAATACACTGCTTGTTTGCTTTGTGAGACACATTGACTTGGATTTCTTTTTTCCCAACTTTAGATCCAAACCACTCTGCATATTTCAAGCAAAGGACTTAAACATTAATTCTTCTTGTTCTTTTTTTTTCTTGTAGCACTAATTTGCTTCATTAACAATAAGATCAGGTAAAAATTGACACCTAGAGCACTTACTGTTAAGGTGAGGGTTTTTTTTTCCTGGAACAATCAATTTCATTTTACATGCATTACCTCAGCAATCTCCAACATTGTTCAAGGATGGTGTTATCTACAGTTTGAAGATAAGAACAAAAAAGGAGAGGAAAGACAAGCAACTTTGAACTTGAGTTTATCTTACGATGCAACTGTTACCTGTCTTGTCTACCTTATTTGACACTATGAGCCAGATTCAAATTTCGCACCTGTTAAGTACCTAGAGGGATTATTGTGTATGTGACATCTTTTCCATCAATTTCCTTTGCTTGTCCTGAGTCAGCTGCCCTTACAGTACCATACATAAATACCACCAACTATGTTTACTGTGAGCAAAGCACAAGGTTTACTGCCCAGGTATGCAGAACTCTTTGTCAAAAGAAAAGGATAGTTGATTGATAAAAGATCTAGATTTTTTCATTTTTTTTTTGTAAAAACTGATCTTAAGATAGATTTCTCAGTGAAGGTAGGAGTGTGCCTTGACAAGTTGGTGAGAATAGCATCATCATTTCACACAAAATATATGGCAGGCATTAATTTCCAGTGTCAGATCAATTCATTGACCATAGCTATCAAGAGCAAAAGAGACTGGACAATTAATCCCTTTATGACACGAAATTGCTGTATCATAGAAGTGTAGCCTTCGCTGTTCACCCAGCAGCTGTTGGCTACTGTGCTTTCTGAGGCTGCAAAGAGCAAGATGCAGGACATCTCTGACTCAGCTCTTCATGCTTCTGCTCTTGTTGATGACTATTTTGTGGAAAACCCTTTTTTTCTCTCCAGCACTCTCCAGTTCTTCCAAAAGTGCTATTCCTAAGGTAGAAATATAAAAAAAATATGAATTTAATGCAATAGTTCTCACCCCCTACAATTTGATCAATATTCTCTCTGTTATGAATGTATCTGCATTATAGGTGTCTTCTGTCTAAACTGATCAAAGTTAGATATGCACATATATAATCTACATCTATATGTACAATATATGCATACCAGGAATGCGTATATTGACATATATTTCTATTTCATTTGGCTTTGGCTGGTTCCTGTCTGAAGCTGTCAGTCTCCTGAGGTTAACGTTTATCTGAATCCTACAGTTTATCTCCAGAGTGAGTCTGACAGCCCATAACTCAGCTTTAAGTTATCAAAGCAGGCTTCTTTCTTCTGTTTTATACCACAAGTTTCATCAGACTCAGAAGAGGCTCTCTAATGAGCTTAACTTAACTGTTCAGCCCAATATCCACCTTAATTCCTGTGGGTAGTGGGCATCAACAGGGACTCCTTAAGTTTAAGTGAATAAGTGAGCTCCTTTTAAAGACATCGTGGTGATGTCTAGTTGGCATTAATTGGTGGCAGCAAGTTTGGGGCAGATTGCATCTGTCGATATTAGTCATAGTCACCACTAGTCAACAAAGGTGGTGGAACGTTTGCCTGAGACTGCTCAGCAAGCCAACAGTACAGCGCCTTTACTAGTGGATCTAAGCGGCAGTAAAGGATGGAGGAAGCACACACGAGAGGCAGCTGACAGGAGTGAAAATCTCGGCCCCAGGGGATTTGAAGCCTAGTTCTGCTATGAATGCTCTGAGACTTAGGACCAATAGTTTATACTTTTTACTTAGTGGAGATTTGCAATATCAGCCCCATAAGCGTCGGGTGAGAGCACCTGATGTTGTTGCGTAAAAGCCACCAAAACAGTTTTTGAAACAACCAAATGGGCCAGAAAAGGTAGATGGTTTCTATTATTTCTCTCTCTCTCTCTCTCTCTCTCTCTCTCTCTCTCTCTCTCTCTCTCTCTCTCTCTCTCTCTCCTCTGTGTGTGTGTGTGTGTGTTTCTCTCTATGTCTCTGTCTCTTTCATTTTTGTTTTTGCTTTGTTTTGTTTTTTTGTTTGTTTTTTGATATCTCTTCTTAATTGAAAATAGCTTCTTCTCTCATACAATGCATCCCAACCACAGTTTCCCCTCCCTCCACTCTTCCTAGTTCCTCTCCACTTCCC